TTTAAAAAGCCATGTGGCTGAGTGATCCTGTTCTGAACAGCACAGGACTGGAGAGTTCAAGCAAAGCCCTAAGCCCTGGGCACTGGCCTCGTTATATTGATCACACTCGGTGCCAACTGTCACTAGAACCAAATGTATAAAACACAGTTGATTCTCACAGAGCCGACACAGGTAGCTTTCAAGGGGTATTAGAGTGGCCTGGCACAGAGAAGCTGGCAAAACACACACATAAAAGGGATAATGAGGCACCGTTTTGCAGAGATTGTGATGCTTTAGGGGCCTCCGTCTGCGATGAAACCCAGCAAAGGGCAGGTTCATCCCTCGGTGACCAGACTTAATTGAAAATTTAAGACCCAATCAAATCACCCAGAATTGAGATTTTTGGCAGCTTATGTGCGTCGCTGTGAGGTTCCCGCTGCTTTTCGCCTCTGCCAGCCCTACAAGTGAGGCTGCAGGTTCCAATATCATCCACAACGGCACCAAGCTTTAAGCAAGAGACAAAGCCACGTTAAATCTAATCCTGATTTCTTAAAAAATGCACACAGTCCCTGTCCTTCCTAAGCCATGAGGTGAACACTGGCCAATACTCTACCTCCGATTTGCATTTGCTTAAGAGTCAGAGGAGCATTTTCTCTGTGAAAGATAAGCGTATTAAGTGCACTTAAAAAAATCTCCCATGGAAGATTATGTCAAAACCTATGGAAGGGCTGGGGTTGTAGCTCAGTGGTGGAGTACTTACCTAGCATGTGCAAGGCACTGGGTTTGATCCTCAGCACCACATAAAAATAAATAAATAAAATAAAGGTACTGTGTCCATCTACAGCTAAAAATATTTTTAAAAAACCTGATGGAAGAGGAATATATCATATGCCCTTCTACATAACACAAGTCTCTCGCAAGAATGTTCTAACTGGTGTTAATGCCTTATTTGCCGAGCATCTTGTAATTTACATGTGCTCTGATGCCCAAGAGATCTATGTCACTTCCTAGATCTAGGTCACTTCCTCTGTCACTTCCCAATACTGCATCTTTGGGCAGGTTACTTAACCTCTCTCTGAGCATCTGTCTCTCCACCTGAAAAAAGGGGTGAGCTGTACCCATATAATTCACTAGGTTATTGCAAAGATAAAATGACAGAAGCCACACAAGATGAATATTCATAGAAACTTAATTTAGAATGGCCCCAAACTGGAAACAACACAAATGACCATCAACAGGTGAATGGAAAAACAAACTAGCCCATCCATACCATGGAATACTACTTAGTAACACAGCAGGGGATGAACACATGTGACGTGGATGCTCCAAATGAGCAAGCTGAGTGACAGAGGTTACATACTACATGACCAAAAAGAATATATACTACATGACTCCATTTATAAAAAAAATTCTAGAAAATAAAATCGGTGACAGAAGAAGTAAAAGAAAGCAAATCAGTTAGAAAAGGAATAGAATGGTATATAGTAGGCACTTAACAAATGCTACTCCGTTTTGGACAAGGGTGAATGAGCGCATCAGAAAAGCTGGGGACACTGCCAGGGAAATGGATTGATACACAGAAACACACCTCTGAGCATGGCTCTGGGTTTACCAGGACCCAACCAGTTAGCATGGGCTCTTCTCAGCTAGAAAGTGTGAACAAGGAAGACGAACAGAAAGATGAACAGGGTTTAGTCTTTGCCCTGAAGGAAATACAAGTAGGTTTAATGCATGATGTAATAAAAGTGTCATAAGGATGGTGCTGACAAACTGCAGGTGGGCAGAGAGTAAGGCTGATGGGTTTGATGTCAAGAAGGAGGATTCCAGTGGCAAGGAATAAGAGGCAGGGCCTTGCCAAAGCAGGGAAGCTGGGAAAAGGGGGTCCTGGGAGAGCAGGCGGTCCTACAGCCACAGCACACACTGTCCTCTGGGGATGCATGGGAGACAGTCCCACGACCAAGCTACAGAAAGCCCCCAGCGCCAACCTGAGCCTCAACTTCATCTGCCCAGGGGAACCTGCCAAAGAGTTGAGCATGATCAGATGTGTGTTTTACACAAACAGGTCCTATCTAGAGGGCAATTTGGCAATTTATCAGAAGTCCTGACATTCGCATCCTTCAACTTGGCAATTCCTGAGGAAATAATCAGAAATGTACACAAAGATTTATGTACAACATTGCTTATCACAACATTATTTATAATAGCCCAAAGCCCAAAGTAACTTAAATGTCCAATAAAAGGGGACTGCTAAATAAATTATAGCACACTGAGTGATTAAATCATATAGTCATTAAATCATACTTTGAGAGCACATGGATGACAGAGTGCATACCTCACCATACCATGTGAAATTGCAAAAATGCAAGATGCATACAGAGATGATGAGCATCTGTTTGACAAATATTCATTGATTAGGCACCGTCCTAAGCACCCAAGGTGCAGTAGATAATAAAACAGACACCATCCCCACACTCCAGGAAAGAGATTCTACTTTTCCATAAAGGAAGGCAGACAGAAAACAAGGAAACAGCAATAAGCAAAATCCTTTGACGACATGGAGGAAATCAAGAGGGAAAGAGATGGGAAGTTGCAGGGGAGGTAGACATTTCAAACGGATGTCAGGAAAATCTTCAGAGAGGAGGTGCTTAAGAAGATGAGGCAAGGGGATCTCTGGGGAAAACTTGCAGACAAAGATCAGGCAGCCCAAAAGCCCCGGGGAAGCCTGGAGGATACAGAAAAAAGCAAGGCGAAGCAGCAGAACACGAAAGACAAGCTGCAGGAGAATGAGCTCCCAGGGAAGCGGTGAGACCAGTGAAGGAGGTGGGAGCCACAGGAGGGCTCTGAGCAGAGGAGCTAAGTGATCTGTAGGACAGAGGCAAAAGCAGGGAGGACAGGCAGAACTTTTCCCAGTGTGGTTTTAGCTCTTTATAATGAGCTTGCATTCATTTTATAATTAGAAAACAAAAGATAATGCAATTAAAAAAAAAAACAGAGAAGCAATGCAGATGCAGCAGCCACGGGAACATAGGGAAACTATCAAGGAGGTCAGGGAAATTGGCAAGAGATGATGGTGGGAGCAGCCGGAGGCCAAGAATGGCACATAGCATATGTTCCTGGAACAACAATTATTTTGTGTGTGTGTGTGTGTGTGTGTGTGAGCCCGTGAAATTTTATTTATGGACACTGATCAAAATTATTTTAAAATTAACTCTTTCTTTTCTTTCTTTCTTCCCTTTATTTTTCCCCCATATCAGGCACTGAACCCAGGGGTGCTTAACCACTGAGCTACATCCCTAGCCAGAAGGACACAATATGAGGAGGAAGAGGCTGAGTTTGGTTTTGGTGACTTGGAGGGATATGAAGATGTCACCTGTGCCCAGCTGCCCATCCCTCTTGGGGCTCAAGAAGTCTTCACAGAGGGACAATGACACCCCAAAAGAGAAGGAGGGATCCTCGAAGCACCTACTGTGTGCCAGGCTTTGAGGGAAGGGCTTTGCACACATTTCTTCTTCCAAACTTCATAGCCTCCCTGTGACGTGCATGTTTCTTTTTAAATTAAAACAGGGACCCTGCAGGCCTGAGAGGCTTAGTGACTTACCCATGATGCCAAAGCACAGCCAGGACCAAAACCATGAATATGAGGGCTTTTCCCACTTATTCTCCTATATATTTCACAGAAGCCCAGGGAGAAAGTGTCTTAAGTGACATAGTGCCCAGTTTTGCTCCTAACTTCCTGGGACCCAAAGAAAGAATGTTCTCTTCATTTTCCAAATCCAGTGTCCAAAGGACACTCAAAGTATAACACAAGACCAGAAGTGGAAGCCTGGAGAGGGAACTTCAGACACGCTTCACTGCTTAGATTTGGAATAGGACTATGTAGAGATGGAGCAAGAGCCCAGCAATGGTTTAGGTGCCCTAGTGATATAGTGCCCAGTTTTTGTTCCTAACTTCCTGGGACCCAAAAAAAGAGTGTTCTTGTCGTTTTCCAAATCCACATAATTTTTTAAATTTGTTCTACTTAGTTGTACATGACAGCAGAATGCATTTCAATTCATCATACACAAATAGAGCGTAACATTTCAATTCTCGGGTTGTACACAGCGTAGAGATGCACCACTCATGCAATCATACATGTACCCAGGGTAATGATGTCCATCTCATTCCACTATCTTTCCTACCCTCATAACCCTTCCCCACCCTTCCCTTTGCCCAATCCAAAGTTCCTCTATTCTTCCAATGCTCCCCCAATCATAGATCAGCACCCATTAATCAGAGAAAACATTCAGGCTTTAGTTTTTTGGGGTTTGGCTTACTTTGCTTAGCACAATATTCTCCAACTCCATTCATCACATAATTTTAAATAGTTGAGGTTTTCTTTTTCTTTTTTTTTTCTCTCATATATTTGAGTCTCCTCTACCCCAACCAGGTAAGTAGCTCCAGAACCAGTACCTGCCTCCAGACTCCCCCACCACCATCAAGAAATAGCCTAACTACACACAGAGGTGCCCTGACCACAAATTGCCAGTCACTCCAGGGCCATTCCCTACACCCTCAGACCCTGGACACTGGTCACGGTAAGTGACCCTGATTCCTCTAGCTCGGGTGAGGCATAGGCAAGCCCAGATGGACAAGAGGGTGACAACGGGCAGGTGAACTTGGGTTGATGGGTAGATTCATTCAAGAAGATAAGGAAATCTTTCTGTTTTGTGGGGCCTGCCACAAGAGTTTGCAAACTGGTTGGTCCATGGGCCAAATGCAGCCTATCCTCATGTATCACTTAGCTCACACACAACCTTCATTTGTTATAATTTCAACTTAAAAAGAGAGAGATTTCATATAAACATCTGGATTCTGTAAGCTGTCCCCTTCAGACAGGCCTGCCCTGGTTCCTCAAGCCCCTCTCCTGCCCACCCTTCCTCTTAGGCTCTAGCCAGAGACCCTGCCAGGGACACAGCCACATGGCCAGGCAGGCTCAAGGCCTCAGGTGGGTCCCCTGAAAGCTAGGCTTGGGGTGTACTCACCAGCACTCAGAGTCGTGAATTCTAGGAAGCGGTACTCATAGGCCACATCCACCTTGGTTTCCACCTGAGGCCTCTTCAAAGTTGAATAAATATTCCCAGGCCGCTTCTCATCACGCTTCTCGAACTTGTTCAATCCGCAACCCATTTCAGCAGCTGCCAGGGGAAGGAAAACAAAGAGGGGGACAGGAGTGATAATTTTTCCAGAGATTTTGTTTATAAACACCACAATATTTTTTAAAAAACTAATTTTCCTGAAGAATGTGTCAAGGAACTCGGCCTGTAAGAAATCATGGGTATAATTTAATATGGGTGCTAAAGAGACGACTCTGCTCCATGTCCAGGTGCTGTGTCCTTCTGGAGAATTCCATTACCAGCCATCCTGTGATTTTAAAATGACACCAAAAGTATACCCGCTTATATCCTTTTCTTTCCCCATCTGAGGAAAATAATACCTCAGAGTGCTTCGCTTCCACGGCAATCTGTATACATGATTAAAAAATGGGATCTCAAAAGCAATACAGTGCATTATGGTGTCATCTCGTCTGTAGAAAAACAAGAGATGTGTCACCTTCCCTGTGGTTGCTAAGAGAGAATAATAAGTTGTTGTTACAGTTTCTAAACTCTGGAGTCCTCTCTACTCTCAACAGTAATTATTTAGACAGGAATGGATATTCATAAAACATCTCTCAAAGTAGAGGGCCATATTTTTATGGGCTTGTCTAAAAGTCCCCCTTTTCTTTTTTTCCTTTTTTTTTTTTTTTAGCCCAAACCACAGGAAATAATAGCAGATGTCCACACTCTGAGAGTCATTTCAGACCCAAATGAAAACTGACTGAACACTGATAGCAGGGCCAGAGAGATTGGAAGCAGAAATCCGTGCTTACTAGAGTGAAGATCTATAGCTTCTGTTTGAAAAGAAAATGGAGAAATGTTACAATAATGTGTACCCTAGGGTGGGCTAAGCTTCCATCCTTTCTAGGGATTAAAAACAGTGAACCTGCTCTGTTTATTTAGGCAGAATGACACTCACAAAATGACTCCATCCCCTCCCCAGACTTCAGGGGAAGATATTTCCTTTTGTGGCCTGAGCATGAGCCATATACTTCCCTCCCGTCTGGGATATGGGGGCTGCCACCAAAACACACTTCACAAAAATATTAACTGGCCAAGAATATCACCCACAGAAACATGGTGACTGTTTCCTCTTGTAGATAAGAATTTCCTTTCGCTCAATCCATTCACAAGGCACCCAGCTTCCTAAGGCAATTTAGCAAGTTCCAGAAAAACAAATGGAACCTCAAAAAAAGGAAGGAGGGTAGGGAGAATAGAAGGAGGTGGGTGGTGTAACCACCACTAGCCTATACTTTTCAGTAATTAAAAAAAATGTCTGAAAGAATGGATGAGAACAGGAAGCCTTACTTATGCCTTAATAAGGGAACATTAGTGTCCAAAGGGCCAGAGCAGACATGATTTATGTGCAGTCTGCATGAACTGATTACTTGTAAAATACTCTGTAGTTCTGCAGATATAATAGCTGATGTGTACAGAGGCCACATATTTAACTGCCAAAAAGCAGGCCGATCGGCATCCGCTGTAGCAAAGCATAGAGGAAATGGATGGAGAGGTTCCTAAGTGCCGGGGACAGGCAACACTGGTGAGATGGGCAAGAAGGGCACCATCACCACTGGAACAGGATTGCAAATAGCACAAAGGATTACCAAGTTGGTCACTGGGGTACATTTCCTGCATGCCTACAATGAGCAAAAACACCATCCAGATGGTATGATCTTTGCCCTCAGTCGGTTAGCCTGGTAAAGGACAAGGGACACTCAAAGTATAACACAAGACCAGAAGTAGAAGCTTGGAGAGGGTACTTCAGAGAGGCTTCACTGCATAAATTTGGAATAGGACTATGTAGAGATGGAGCAAGAGCCTAGCAATGGTTTAGGCATGGAATCAGGAAGCCCTGAGATGTGGAGGGGAAGAGAGAGGGTCAGAGAGCCAGGGCCACCAGCTCACTCACTTGATCATTTTTTTTTAGTTGTACATTGATCTTTTACTTTTTTTTTTTTTTTTAATTTATATGTGGTGCTGAGGATTGAACCCAGGGCCTCACACATGCCAGGCAAGTGCTCTACCACTGAGCCACATCTCCAGCCCCCAGTTGGTGTCTTTTGTGAAAAATCAGAAAAGGGTTCCCCTTCTCTGAGGAATGCAGTCCTGCCCCAGCTGTGGCTTAATGAGTGGATCAAGAGCTGCATTTAAAATAAGCTCCTACTTATCCCCTTTATGACCACACAGGGTAGAGCTGCTTCTGTTGGGGAAAAGTTAAGTAGATTATTTCAGAATTGATAGGTGATAGGGTTGTGGCTCAGTGGTAGGGAGCTTGCCTGGCACATGTAAGGAACTGGGTTCAATCCTCAACACCACATATAAATAAATAAATAAATAAAGGTATCTTGTCCATCTACAACTAAAAAATTTTAAAAAAGGAATATTTCAAACTTGAGCATGACAAGCTAGTCATATGCAAAAAGCATGGAGGTGGAGGCCAAGAGTTCTTAAATAGGACACAAAAGTTTTCTAACTACAAACAGTAAATCTTTATAGAATGGCATAGATGAAGACAAAATTTTTCTGTTCCTCAAAACACAACTTTTATTTTTAATATACATAATTTTTAGTTGTAGGGGGACACAATACCTTTATTTTATTTTTATGTGCTGCTGAGGCATTGAACCCAGTGCCTCACGCATGCTAGGCAAGAGCACTCTACCACTGAGCCACAATCCCAGTCCCTCAAAACACATTTTGAAGACAGAAAAGGCAATCAAGATCCTAGAAGATGCTGCAGCACATTTATGAAATGATCTTCCAGTCAGCCAGCTCTCCAAGAAGGGGGAGAAACCCTGATTTGCAGAGTTTGCCCATTTCTGCAGTGTAAACACTCCCACTGTGCAGATTCCAAGTGACTGAGGTGACAACACTGAAGCTCTCATGAGCCAGTGTGAACTGGCTCCGCACACACTGCATTCACTCAACAGAGTAACTATATCCACAACCAATCAGAGGACTCCTACAAAGCAGTAAGAAACAGACTATCCCACAGCAAATTGGTAAGATGCCTGAAGGAACTTGTCACAGCGAGGATGTATAGTGCACACCACCAAGGGCAGAGGAAAAGTAGCTCAGCCTCACTGCTCATCAGGGAAATCAAAGGAGCAACCAAAACACACTCCCTATCAGAATAGCTAAAAATTTTGAAAGCTGCTAATACAAGTTGAGCATCCTTCATCCCAAAGTCCAAAATCTGAAATGCTCCGAAATTCAAAACTTTTTGAGAGATGATGCTCAAAAAGTTTGGATTTCAGAACATTTCGGAAATCAGATTTGAAGAAGAGGCAGAGGTGAGGTACTCCACTGCCAAAGTCTAAGCAAATATTCCAAAATCTGAAACACTCTGAAATCTGAAACTTTTCTGGTCCAGACCATTTTGAATAAATAAACCTGTAACAAGTGTTGGCAAGGATTCGAAGCAAACAGAATTCCCCTACACTGATAGCAGGAGTGTAGGTTTGTACAACCACTTTGGAAATACAGTGATATGTAGGGAAACTGAATATAAGCATATCTTGTGACCCAGCAGTTCCTTTCCTAGGTATATACCAATGACCATGTGTATATGAGGGCATCAAAGGACACATACAATGCTCACAGTCTCTCCCCTCCTAATGGCCCTTCCCAGGGAATCGCCCAGATGCCTTTCAGGAGAAAAGATGAACAAATCGTGGCATATTCATATAGCAAAATATTATAAAGCAAGGAAACAGAAATTAAGAATACCCATGACAACATGGACAAACATAAAAATAGTAAAAGGAGAGGCGGGAAGCCAGTCACAGAAGAGTGCAGACTTCCTCTTTTCTGTACCCAGAGCTCCAAAGCAAGCAAAATGACATACAGGGTTAAGATCTGGAATACTGGACTATCCTGGGAACAGTGACTACCTGAGAGCACCAGGGCGCTTCTGGGGAACTGGTCATGCTCTTTTCTTGATTTGGGTGCAGGATACTCAGGGGTTCAGTCTGTGACAACTCACTGATCCTCTCAGTTCTTATGTATTTTCCCACACTTAAATTTCACCAAGCCGCACTAGGATTGGGGCTCAGCGGGAGAGTGCTCGCCTAGCATGTGTGAGGCCCTGGGTTCAATCTTCAACACCACATAAAAATAAATAAATAAAACAAAGATATTGTGTCCAACTACAACTAAAAAAAATAAATATTTTTTTTTAAATTTCACCAAGCTAGCTGGGGAATGTAGCTCCGCAGTAGAGAGCTTGCCTAGCACGTGTGAGGTTCTAGGTTCAATTCTTAGCACTGCAAAAAAATAATAATCATTTTTCCCTGGGTTCAATCCCCAGTACTGCAAACAAACAAACAAAAAAACTCTTTTCATTGAAAAGTTCAAAAACAAATAAATATGTGGTCCTGCAGGTGTCCAGAAACATCTCCAAACAATAAAAGTAGGTTGAAGGCAAAACACAGAACTGTCCACCCACGGGGAGTCGAGCTTTCTGAATTAAAAGGGAAGGCAAGTCATCTGAGGCCAGCTGCTCTGATGAAGTCACTGTGCATACACCACAGAGTTCTGAGGACAAGGACCATTTCCTGTATGAGGCTGGAAGCATGTTCTCCAACCTGGGACTTCAGGGTCACAAGACTGAGGATTACACAGGCGGGCAAGCAAGGGAAAGAGTCGACCTTGATCTGTCATATACTTGTGCAGACCGCCTAGCTCTGTAAGGCTAAGCAATTGGGGATCCCCAAGAAGAAACCTCTTCTTCAAACTCGCTCCCATTTTTGTTACCATTTTTTTATGATTTCCAAGGAAATCATAATTGCCCTTCAAAACCACCAATGTCTCCACAGAAAGGGCAACAAACTAGGCTCCTGATAGCCACTAACACTTCAGTATGATTTAATTTTGTCTATAGTTTTCTATTTAAATTTTTAAATTTTAACTTAATTTCTTCTATAAAGTAGAGACATTGGAATGGAGAGTGTTATTAGGATGTGTAAGAAAGACTCAGAAACGATAGAGGATAGCAGAAGGCCAGCAGGTTCCAAGAAGCATTAGAAAAACTTCCAATA